TCATTTTCTTTTTATTTATTATTGATTTCACAGAGAGAGAGGAAGGGAGAGGGAGAGAGAGAAACATCAATGATGAGAGAGAATCATTGATCGGCTGCCTCCTGCATGCCCCCCACTGGGAATCAAGCCCACAACCTGGGCGTGTGCCCTGACCAGGAATTGAACTATGACCTCCTAGTTCATAGGTCAACACTCAGCCAAAAACATCGGCTGGGCTGGGCTTTTGTTCTTACAGGCACATGACACTCATGCTGACACGTCCCCATCCCCACCCCAATGCTGTGGGTCCCACTGTTGTTAAACTGTGAGGCTGAGATAATGTGCAAACCCAGCTGCAAGGGACAGTCAGTGTCTCCCCCCTCCCCCCAGTCCATCATCTGCTTGTACAGGATAGAGCGGCCTGGCCAGGCCTTGACCCCATTAGCAGCCACGCGCTCAGGTCAGGAGCTCCGGACAGAAGCGCTTGCCTCCCTCCCGAGTCCCCGTGGGACGCGTTTCTGTATAGAACCCAGGAGGTGGCTGTCCCCAGGTCTTCGCACTGGGCATGTCTGTGGGTGGCTCACACGCAGCACAAATTACTGATCAGCTGAAACCACGGGGAGTGACAGGCTCTCACGTGACACCTCCCCCCCCCAGGTGTTCGATGGGCAAGACGGCGCCTCCCGGCCCCTGGGGACCTTCACGCGGCGCGAGCTGCTGGGCCTGACCCTGAACAGCACCTCCAACCACCTGCGGCTGCGATGCTTCGAAGTCTCTCTGACACCAAAGGCCACGGTACAGGAAATTAAGCCCTTTGGTTCTGAGCATGAATATTCGTTAGTGACCGTCAGGGTTAATGTCCCTCTTGGACAGATAGGCGAGTAACGGCCTGGGAAGATAGCAGTCACCCCAGACCCAGCGCATCAGGCCCGGTGAGGAAAATGAGCGACTCAGTCCCCGCTTAGTGGGGAGATGACAGCGGAAGTGTCGCTTAACCTGGAGCAGAAATGCAGTTAAAGTGGCCGACATCCTGAGAAAACCGTCCACGGCCGTGGAAATGACCACGGCAAAGGCTCAGTGAGAAGAAAACATGTGACGTGTGTTGTGTGCAAACTGCAGTAGCGATCGGTGTGTAAGCCGCCCGGTAGCCCGTATTTTAACTTTTATTATCACCAGGGCTCCACGCATGGAGTTCACTGCCCAGAAGGCTTTCCTGTCAAAGCCATGGGCTCTGACTGCAGAGGAAGGGCTGGCCGTGGCCCCTCTGATGTAGATTCACGGGACTGTGTCCATTGTTGCTTTGCTGCTTGGTTCCTGGAAGGTGCTAAATCCGCTTTCCGCTCTTACCCGTCTTCGTGCCCCGGAGGTGTGATGCTGTGGGGAGGGGAAAGCTCTGAGGGAACATGGCCTTCACTGCAGCTCCCGGGATGCTCCGCACCCGTGG